GATATGAAAAGGATGAATAACAACTGGAAAGGATTGCCCAGGATAGGGTTGGTCGGAGAATGTTGGTGGGCGATCTATGCTTTTCCACGATGGTTAACAGGCGTAAGTTGTATATATACTGAACAGAATAACATTTTCAGTTACTAGTCATATTTAATAACAATTTACGATGGAATAACAGTGCAGTGAACAAAAACACGACTGGGGACAATCGAATGTATTCAAGCATAAATTACAGACAATCTCACTAAATTCTGATTACCATACAGTAAAACAATTAATTTGCAAAATAACAATCAATGGTCTCAATCTTCACTGTTCCTTTTGCAAATATCAGTCCGTCTTCTCTGATTTCATTGTTCATGCATTCTCGTACCGATTACGCTTCATTTCTGTCCGTTCCTTATCGATCTTCTGCCAAAATACATTCTATGTCTGACCACCACCATATACTACTTATATGAATATAAGTAGACCACTCCACAATAGCAGCAAAATCAATGAAGACACATCTAGATATATAAAGTATATCTTATCGAAAGCTTTTAAACCGTTTCATATTTGTTGGGATTTCTTCTTCCTATCTATTATACTAAATCTTTCATAGTTAATAAAGTATAGATTTAATAAAAATGGTAGATTCTTTTTTCAGAAGAAGAAAAATACTATTAATCGTTTTCATCACGGAATATTATCATTCAATAATCATAATGGAACAACCACTGAAAATCTTTTTAAAGATGATAATTAATTAAAACATACTACTGAAATATGACTGCATGCCACCATTTTTTCGAACAGGATTTCCCAACTTATGACTGCTGAAATTTAGGAATATAATATTAGTATATATTGTTATAAATTCACTTAGTATTACTTGTTTGAATCTTTCCATCGATGTGTTAGGACTGCAACTGGTCAGTTTCTTATTGACATATGTGCATACTGTGCGTATTGCCTCGATATAGCCTTATTTCACAAACATTGTAAGCAGAGATGTATAGTGGCTAGCAGAGAAATCCAGGACGCGCGTTTCGTCCTATTTGGGACTCATCAGCTGAATGTACCTGCATCTCAGTAGATAAATGGATAACGCGATGGTGCTTGAAGCGAACGGTACTGGGTTCGAGTCCCAGAGTGAACATCAACTCTGAGATGCAGGTACATCCAGCTGACGAATCCCAAATAGGACGAAACGCGCGTACTGGATTCCACTGCTAGCCACTATCCATGTGTGCTTGCATATTGTTATGTTTTCTGTGTTATTCCAATACTTACTCATTTGTATTTACTATTGATCTTATATTAGAATGAAATATGCTACCGATCTTCGAGAGGAAAAGTTTAATCTAGTTGTTATATCTTAGTGAAGATGTAAGTACAGGTAACTTACTGGACCTATTAATGGACGATCATTCTATGTATGTTCTTATGGTTTAACTATTGAGTAATTAGATTATGTAGATTTATATTCATCTTATTATAAGCTTCATTTTGACCTATGGATTATTACTGTACGACTTACTGTTTTTAAATTATATTCAGTTTACTGATTACTGTCTCCCACGTTCACAACCACATTTGGCCTGATCTTGTACAAATATTATTTTCTATTTTACGGTATGACGCGGTCTGTCTGTCTGGTATATAAACTGAGTATGCTTAAAATAAAAGATTCGCATAGCAGAAGCTGTAATTGGTGTTCTGGGCTCAATTGGAAGGGTTAGGCGGACAAAGGACCAGTGGGGACGATAGACTACTCATACTGATCAAACGCCATTGAGTAGCACAGTATTGAGATTAGAAAAGTCATATTTCTGATTGGTGGATAATTCACGTGATAAAAGCCGTACATGAAATCATAACGAATAGGCATACGTCCTAATTTCTAGAAAGTCATGACACTAGTATATATGTATACTAAAAAGTTTGGACTTAAGATATGGTGTTGTATATCTGAAGGCAATCAACAAACTCTATATATATATATCGTTTTAGCGCCAAAAACATTAAACAAATATGAAAATTGTGGATTATGTAATTCAGATGATGTCTTCGAATAATATTTTGTTTATCATGAGAATTCGTGCTTTAAAATTACATCCTACACATGAAACACACTAGAGAAGTAGCAAAATCAGAACTAGTCTGTCGTTCTATTCCCCTTACTGCCCTTCACCTTGGTTATCAGTGATTGTTCAGGTCATATTACTCAATGGATAGATTTTGTTAAAGTGTTTAACTTTACGCCACTACGTTTTAGGTTCGAAATCTGCTTCATCTATTTTAGATTAAGTGACTGAGTAGTATTATTAGCCCTCACACTTAGTGTAGCTTATGCTTAAGTCCCTGGTAAATGAGTTTATTTAATGGTAGTTTACCGCTCATCTTTCGGAACAATACATGTTTATATGTAAAGTGAAAATTCCACGAGTATCTTCATATGAAAAGCAAACTGAAAAGTGATGAGATACATTAGATGATTATTCTACTCTGTGATGCAGGTACGTCCAGATGACAAGTCCCGAATAGGATGAAACACGTATCCTAGATCCCATTGCTAGATACCATCCATCTAATCTATATCAACTAGTTAAGTATGTTCAAATTACAAAAAACATTGAATGGTAATTTCCAATGTAAAATTTTACTCATCACTTCAGGTACTTGTATGCAGAAGGTTATCTCGACCAATCACTTAAAAGCTTAATCTATGATGCTATTGAACACCTTCCAATATGAATAAGTAGCAGTTGGATCTCTTATTCTGTCTAAGTGATATAACGGATAAATTAAAATATCTTTCTTTGTAGTATGTTACGTTAATACAATGACATGACAGTAAGACTGGTTCGAGTGATTAAGTTTATAATACCGCTAGATTGGATACTCGAACGGTGCACTAAACATAGACCAGACCACGTTATATCACATATACGATTGATAACCAAGAATAGAGAACTGGATTGACACCAGACAATATTTCAGTCCGAACACTTTCAGTGAGTTCAGAGTCGAAATCAATAAGAAGAAAAGAAATCACATACTTAGTGATCAACGTGTTGGGTGCCTGTCTATCCACATTCAGAAACCAATTACATCTAACTTCACTACCACATATCACTAAGCCAATCAGACGATTAAGTAAATAATAATGTCCTCTTCCATATCAGCAATAGTTTAGAAATGGCTAACACCTGAATTTTTCAGAAGCAATAGAAACGATAATCATACATGAATAAAAGAAACTTGAGCTCTAGATCAAAGTAGATAAGCTTAAACACTTTTGCCAGGACTAGGGATGATTTCCATTATAATGTAACCTAATACAGACAAGTATACACTATTCTCTCCTGGAATAAATCTTCGTGATTTCAGATTTAATTACTTCGTTTCTATGCATTTGAATAAATCAACTAACACCTAGTTCACTTTTAATTATCTTTTACTTAATTGATATCATTTCATGCATTATGTAATCATAGATTGTAAATATAGTATAGTTACTAATTATATTATAACTATTTATTTAGAAGGATATATTCAATCATCAATAACAGATTGTTACATTATTATTCTAACAAATATAGAATTTATAAGCAAAGATGGATAGTGGCTAGCAAAGGAATCCAGTTTGACGCTCGTTTCGTCTTATTTGGGACTCGTCAGCTGAATGTACCTGAATCTCAGAGTTGATGTTCACTCTGGGACTCGAACTCAGTACCTTTCGCTTCAAACACCATCGCGTTATCCACTCAGCTACTGAGTCCTGATAGCCACTTGCTTGTGCAATGAGCTGAAGATTGAATTCACTAAGTATTGTTTGTTTGAAACTTCCCATTGATGTTAAGGACTGCAACTGGTCAGTGTCTTATTGACATATGTGCATACTGTGCGAATTGCCTCGATATTGCCTCAATTGACAAGCATTGTAAGCAAAGATGGATAGTGGCTAGCAGTGGATGCAGGTACATCCAGCTGACGAGTCCCGAATAGGTCAAAACTCGCGTCCTGGAAGCTGCTTGTCACTTTCCGCTTTTCGAGGTACATATAAAGGAAACTAGATTAAGGATGATCCTGAGAACCTCGGAGTGCGACCACAGCGCCCAAGGAACGATTGCTTAAGGCAGATCGTACAATAACTGTTTGCTAGTTCATGACGTGTTAAATTCGTATTTACAAACCATTACAGTAGGCGACGGAGAACCGTGGGGAAGTGTAAGGTGTGTTGTTATTATTAGGCCCAACTTTTTCTAACTCCTTAATCTCGGTATGAAAAGGTAGTATCACGACAGACATTGGTTGTCTGAAGGAGACACTTTACTGACACCACACATTTTTATAGTCGGTAATCAACTTCGCCCTTTGAATATTATCACTGGCTGGATTAGAAAAATCGACAATTAAACACAGACAACTTAGTATCAACATTTGAAATAACTAAGTCTTAGTTTATCCTCATCTGATTAGCTTTTAATAGGTCTGGAGTTCATTTATATACCACATTTCCCCATTTGTTCCTTCAGGATCCTGGAGTCTATGTGCATCATTGGTTTGGAATAAGCGTTTTCCAACTCCCTTGGTTGCAAAATTCTTATCCACCAACCTAATTAAAGGGCCGGACAATTGCTTTTCGTCCTCTTAATTCCATAAACAACACCATTGATAAGAAAAAAGGTAGTGAATAGGACTCCTCTGCCAGTGGCTATATATACATCGCCATATGAGAACATTTCGAATAAAAAATCACAACTAAAAGAGGAGAAAATAGTCATTTGTACTGTGTATTTTATTTATTAATCAAGAACATAGTTTACCAAAATGTAGACCTAAAATGATAATTAATAAACAATAATCCCTGAGTATAAATGATGATGACATATAGGAATTAACCTTGAAGTCATAGTAACAATAAATAATAACACAAAAAGCATTGCAGAATTTGGCCACAGAAAAAGACAATATAATAAGTACTACTATCAATAGCAAGTAGTGGTTAGTTAATTTTGTGGTACAGCAGCATATTGAAATTGTTCCGGTGATGCAATATAATTTGCAATATCCAAAGCCAGTACACAACTTTCACGAACCACTGGCTCTTTATCTTTTGTAAATTCTTCTAGTACTTCACGTGCTTGATGCTCAAATTCTTTCGGTATGGAACCTTTCACATTATTTGTTAAATATTTCCCTTCTAATTCACCTAGAATAGAACCAAGTGCTTCAGCAGCTTCATGTCTAACCATTGGATGTTCGTTTGTTTGACGAACACATGTAGACAATTGTGGAACAGTACTAGCTACTGTTAATTGCCCTAAAACAAAAGCAACTTCATGCCTAAGTAATGCACTATTTGGAGCTTTCAGTCCTTCAGCTAATAGACCAGCTGGCTTTTCTGGTGATGTTTTATCAATAACTGCTTGTAAGACACGATCACGTAAAGTAAACATTGCACGATAACGTGTAAATAAATTTTGATTAGGATCCATTAATAAGTCATGTAATTGTTCATCAGTATATTGTTGATCACCGGTAAAACTATGAGCTGGATCAATTGTATTTGGGAATAATTTTGCAGCTAAATCATATAATGCTTGAGAATCTTTATGTTGTCCAGTTTTCTTGTTTTTAATCCATTCAATACGATTTAAACCAACTTGACATGTTTCAGCCAACTTGTATGAAGTAAAAAGAAAAAGCAAATATCATCTTAGGTTCATTATAATCCAAACAAATTAGAAATAGCGACAACAGTCAATCAGTCAGCTACAACGTAGGACCAAGCACACATATGCATCGGTCCAAGTTGCCATACCTCACTCATTAGTACAAGATGAACACCGGATTCATAGAAGTAGTTAATTTAGTGGTGGTGGTAGTATATAAATAAAGGTTGTATATAAAGATATAGTATAGGAAGGAAAAAAGTTATGAAGCAATTTTAATCTCAAGGTTTAAGGAAAGATAAAGAGTGTATACACCTACGCCATTGTGATCGATTCTGAGCCATGTCACCTAGAGTTTCCAACATTGGTCAGCATAGCGCGTCGTTGTAATCGGTGTTCAGGCATACGTAACACGTGGCCCAACCATCTCAGTTGATGAAGATTCATGACTTCATTAACTGATTTACCATCATTTCCTAATACCCTGTGTCTAATCTCACTATTACTTACCTGGTTATCCCAGCAGATGTGAGCAATATTTCCAAGGCATCTGTGGTCAAATACTAGTAACCTACGAGTATCTTCTACTCTTAATGGCTATGTTTCGCAGCCATAAAGTAGAACAGAGCAAACTGCTGCGCAGTATACTCGTCGCGACAACAGTGAATGGAACCTGTATAATGTTTCTGTTGTACTACAAGTTTTTAAAGCATACCCAAATATATTGTGTGTTTTTAGTTCTAAGATGCACAAATTTGAGATGTACAACTCTGTTATAGTTGTATAATGCTCTGAGAGCTAGTGATATTCAACAATTACTCCAAATTAAGTAGAAAGAACAGGATTCGAACTATAGACATTGTGGTTGAACGTCAGAACGTTTAATCAATAATAAACTATCTTTCCATTGTCATGAATTAACATCTGATAAGCTTTCAACTGAACGCAGACACGATAAAATCAAACTTTACTAACAGACTAATCAGATTTCGGATACACTCTTGGATTCTGCACAAAATTCAAAATGCCATGACAGATAGCTTGTAACTTATTAAGTAAACCTTTTCATAGAAAATAAATCGACTGGAAATGTAGATAATAGTTTAACAAGATTTATGAATTCCTTAAGGTAATTTATATGTTCTTGTGTTTTGAAATAAAATTTACCAGTCGAACTATTTATCAGCAATGACTACAAAGCAACTTGTTATTTTCATCTCGAAATCTGAATCTTAACTGTTTTTTTGGATTTTTATTAACACCATTGGATGCCGGGCGACTCAGTGGTCTAGTGACTAAGCGTTCGCGCGCGAAACTGATAGATCCTGGGTTCGAATATCACGAGGCGAGGTTGTAGATGCACACTGCTGAGGAGTCTCACAAAAGGACAAAACGGTCGTCCAGTGCTTTTAGGTTTTCCATGCTGGCCTAGTTTCAATTGATTCATGATCTCAACTATTAAAAAATTATTTATTTACAACTAAATCGGTTGAAAATTAACTCCGCCTGTAGCTTCTTCGGGGGCTACTGCCGATCCCTAGCCCGAGCAAAGGAGGAGGGTTGGGCATGGAGTTAACGACACCATCTCGTAGAAAACCAACTCGCTAAAAACGCGGATGAAAATTGACTTTACTTTCCTCAAAGTCCTGTCCTTAGCAGTTATTGAAGGTCGTCAGTAAAGTATACTTTCATTTCAAGTTGAATCTTTTTGTATACGATTTTCATTTTCATTTTTCCGTATTGAAAACTGATTATGGCAGTACTTTTTAATGATATCTAATCTAAATAAGTTAGATAAAGTAATTAAATGCTCGAAAATTATTTACTTTGATAATTAAATTATGGCATCATAGCAACTGGAAAGCATTGCTTAGAACAGAATTCGATGGAGAATCCTGATGAGCGGCCTATGCTCCGTTAAGAGTCCCCAAATGCCCTGATACGGCCGACAGTGGGTAGGACCCGCCTTCTCTCTCGAAATGCTCTTACACGGCCACGCGTATATAGTCTCTATCAGGGAAGTCCTACTCACTACCTACCTTCTCGTGGCATTACTGTTGTTTACGAAATTGAAAGGACGAAAATCGAATGTCCGGCGATTTAACCGGGTTGGTGGACACGGTGCGTCCACCTAGGGTAGTTGGAAAAACCCCATTCCAAACCAATTGTGCACATGGGCTCCAGTATCCTGAGGGAACAAATGGTGTATAAATCAATCGTTGGTCACCAGCTATCATGGGACTGCATATCCTTACGATGCTCCACTGCCTCGTAGATCAGATCTTTAGGTCAAAGACTCCGGGTGTTTCCCCCACCCTAAGAAAACCATTTGATTCGTTTTAGGCACCCGGGCAGTATCATAGCCCTTACACAAATCAAATGAGATTTGTGTGGCGCATATTTAACTGGTGCCACCTTATACCAATATTTATATGTTCAAATAAATAAAAATAAATAAATAAAGAGGGGGTAACAAACGTAAGAAAGTCCATTTATCCAATATGACACGATATTTATATTTACTTATTATATTTCTATGATTAATTAAAGAATTAACATAAAGATTTCATTCATGTGATGATATATTAGCGCAATACATTTCGAACAATCTGATCACACATAATATACTTGTTAAGAATACTTATATCTGAAAAATAAAAGATGAATTAGACTAGAAATGGAGGGTAAGAGGAGACAAGGATAATAATAATAAAAAAAAATAAGATAAAACAATTTGAAACCTCATCACTTTGGACAATAAGTTAATATATTACTAAGATTTATTGAAACTTTAGTCATACAAAAATTCAACCCCCCCCCTCCTTTATGTATTCAAAAATAGTTTGTTCTCACCTTAAACTTACCCTGGCAACATTAGCTTATTAACCAGAAGTGATCTTTTTTTCATATTTTCTTTATTATCTTTGTCTTCTCTTACCCTCCATTTCTAGTCTAATTCACCTTTTATTCTTTAGATATAATTGTTCTTAACAAGTATATTATGTGTGATCAGATTGTTCGAAATGTATTGCGCTAATACATTATATAATTCTGATAATCTTCATCTTCTTACTACACTATCGAAACTTATCAGAGACTAATTACTTCAGATCATTATTATTGTTATTTATTAACTAATTAACTCATAATTGTAAACAATACGAATCCCTACATGAACTTATGACATCTTTATACTCCCGTATTCAAATGGATTTAGTCTTCTGTGTATTTCTCTACATAACTTAATGAAATAAATAACAATGAATTGAATAGATGGATTCTTTGAAATGAAACATTTACATTCAGTGAATTAACCTATTAACTATAGAAAAACAGAAATGATGGAGGGGGGATAGTTATGTTTTTAACTAAATATATATTAATCAAGAAAAGAGATAATTATAGAAGTAGAATTGTAGTGAATAGAACACTGGTTGGGGACAATCGAATGTATTTAGGCAAAGTTTACAGACTATCTCAGTAAATTCTGATAACCAAACAATGAACAGTCAGTTTGCAAAATAACAACCAATTGTTTCAATCTTCACTGTTTCTTCTCTTATTCAATTGCTCATGCATTTTCCAAACGATTGCGCTTCATTTCAGTTCTTTGCTCATCGGTCTTCTGCCAAAATACATTCTATGTCTGACCACCACCATATACTACTTATATGGATATAAGTAGACCACACCACAGTATTAATAATCAGTAATAATTCAAGTCTTATAATGAGAGATATTTGAAAAGAAAAAAGTTAATCAGAAGGGATTTTGAAAAGATTTCAGTATTTTTCACAGTTGAAATCATAAGTCATTTGAAGCTAGACTATCATGGAAAACCTGGAAGCACTGGACGACCATTCCGTCCTATTGTGAGACTCCTCAGCAGTGTGCATCTACAACCTCGCCTCGCGATATTCGAACCCAGGACCAACCAGTCTCGCGCCTGAGCACTTAACCAACAGACCACTGAGCCGTGGATGTGCACTGCTGAGGAGTCCCACAATAGAACGAAACGGCCGTCCAGTGCTTCCAGGTTTTTTAAGGTGGTCTAGCTTCAATTGACTCATGATTTCAACTATGAAAAAAGTTAATCATCATCATGAAATGATCGAAAAACAAATTTTCAAAGTTGGGTCCTATACTAAAGCAAAAGAGAAACTTGATTCATTTTCTCTGTTTAAGGGTTAGACGTATTTGTAATGAGGATAAGATCGATAATGAACTTGATAAACTACGTTAGATACTGATCAAAAATAGATATTCATCTAGATTTATTAAGGAAAATCCAAAGCTAAAACAACAACTTGAAAGTGTCCACAATACCAAAGAAGATTGTCTTTATAAAAACATCCAGTTAAAAGAAGATATTGTAGCAGCATATAATTTGAAGTTGTGTAAAGGAGGGCCAAATCAATGTGCATCTATCGTTTTACTTGCGTGTTATATTGCCCGCATAAAGTGATCTCTTTTTAAACGTATCCCCGAACATTAACCTGTCTGACTCTTCAAAGGATTGTAGAAGTCAGTCAGAAACTCAATCTTGGAGCACCCACTTCACTTCATCAGAAGTCTCCTTCAAATTCATACATACAATTAGAAAAGCTCAATAGGAATGCAAATTAAAGATTTATGTATAACAGAAGCTATTGCTCTGCACTAGTTTAAGCCTAACCTTTGCGTACAAAAACAGTATGTTCATTCCTTCATTTTCCTATGATATTAACCTACCTTCTATAATCTAACGATTTTATTTCTATTATTTCTACTCTTTTCCAATTATTTTCACAGCTATTCATAAGTAATTCTAACAAATTTTATCCTGTCTTTAATATATGTCGAGTGGATAATTAAATTCACCTTACCACTTTTCACTAGCCGCTTGTTACGTAACTTCCGTTAAATATCAAATTTTCAAGTCTACACAACATACCACTACTTCAAGTGTTTTAATTAATAAGTACCTTTCTATCTAACTACAGAACAATATTTTAGCAAATAAAATTAAC